GAGAATTTAAAAAAAAAAACTCTCTGCTGTGTAGAGACTGTCCCCACCAGCCAGAAGAGAACCGTGGAGCCGATAGCGACGACTCGCTGGCCCGGGTTCACAACACGGAGGAGGAGTCGGAGGCATCGTCACAGCCGCGATGCCTCCACTCCGCTGCTCCTGGCGCAATTATCCTGGCTCAGACCACCTCGTTGTGTAATGAAACTTGTAGCTCGACATCGACATCTGCCACACGAAGAAGGAGAGCGGAGGCTATATGATGACTCAGGATGAAGCGCGTCAACGTTGAAGTGGGAAATAAAACATGACAGGATCATTGGGACGAGTGACCGACACGATCCGCTTTTTTCTGATGCATCCTGCAACGCCCGTAGCTTAATTGCACTGATTTGTCAGTCGTGTTTAACCCCCCTGCAGTTGTTACAGACAGTTTGTGCATCAAGTGAATTAAGAGAAGGATACCCACAGGAGTCCAGTGCGTGTGTGTGAGGGAGCAGTCACTAACCAGATTGTGGTACCAACATTGTTTTACTCGACTTTAAGAATTAAGACAGGGGCTGAGCCTTCATGGGGGCGGGGGGGGGGGGGGGTTGGCCCCCACTAGCCCCCTCCCATCGTCTCCCTCCTTCCCCCTTCCCCCAAGAGGCTGACGTGAAGACGTTAAACCGACACGAGAGTGAAATCCCAACACTCAAAGTGTAATTACGTTGAGAAGTTAAAGCACTGTGATTGCACATTCAATACGCGCGATGTCACCTCGTGTAACGGTTTTTCTCTAAAAAAAATAGACCTGAATGTCAGAGATGCCTTAACAGAACATAGCACCTGCTGCAGGTGAGGTGGTGCCCGCTGTCTGGCTCCGGTAGACGCTGCGTGCAACGCGAATCCCCCTTGACGGTCGGGGCGTTGATCAAGCGGCGTCTGGCTTGGGTTAGAGAACAGCAAGATGGCTTTACATCACGGTGGAGAGGGGCTGGAGAGAAGAAACACTCTCACAGTCTGAATACAAACTTTCGACCTCTGTCCGTGCCAAGGCTGCATGTATTTTAACGCGCAGTATATTAACCGTTCCCATAGCCACCTTGGAATACAATAAAACACTCGCGCAGTGCTGTCAGGCTTTTAGGAGTAAAGAAAAAAAGTATATACACTCGGGCAGGGAAGTCGATCCATTAAATTCTTGACTTAACCCAGAAGCTAATAGCGATGCCCCGCAGCGAAGGTCTCAGCTTGGGGATTCTCCAGATGCCTCTTCTGGGTCCGCTCAAATCTTCAAGGAACGAGACGGCGGCAATTCCCATGGTAAGCCACCGTCTTCGCGTCCCGTCCGTCATCTCTCGGCAGCTGTAAATAAACACAACGCTCGCGCTCCTTTGTGCCATGCGCCACGTTGCAATGGTGCAGTTCTTCTGGCTTTAGAACCCATTTTTCCAAACTGTGCGGTGTATAGCTCATCCACAGCTGTAAGGGCTGCGTGTGACTGTACAGATATGGACTATTGATTTTCGAGACGTTCCATTAAATGCGGTGGCAAGATGGAGAAGAGGGTGGCATTGCGAATCCTGCCGCTCTAAGTTATGGACATTATTAAACCCAAGTTGGAACAAGTTGCGGCAGCTTACGGCGCTATTAGAGTTAGCGTAAGAGTTTCTAAACACCATAACAAATCCTGAGCTGAAGTAGAACCGATACTTTTCGTGTTGAAATGTATTACTCATTTAACACTGTGATATTAACCAGAATTCAGCGTGACGTACATTCTGAACGTTTCTCGCAGTGCTATGCACCAATCAACCGAATGTCACGCATATCCAGGAGCAGAATATTGTTCTAATATGCAGGGTGTTTTAAAAAGATGGACCCAATTTCAAAGCAAAGCGATTTCAAATCGGGTCCATCTTTTTAAACACCCTGTACCTTAAATATGTGCCAATTTCCCTTGTGCTCAGGTGTAAAAATGCCTCAAATGCCATGACACCCCGGGGAATAGCCACACTCTGGAACATGAGGATATCCTGCTAGCATGCGTGTGTGTGCTGTGTGAATATGTGAATGCGTGTGTGTGTGTGTGCTTACTGTGTGAATGTATGTGCTGTTGAATATGGGGAGCGGTAGTGTAGCAGTGAGTGCGCTGCGCTACGAACCCAGCGATCCGAGTTCGATTCTCGCTCATGGGCAGCATCGTTGATGAATACTTGAACCGGTCCCGGGCCTCTTCTAGGTCGATGCAGCCTCAAAACGAGTACCTGGTGCGGTGTGTAAACATCGCCACGAGGGAGACAAAGGCGGCCGGGCGTGGTGCTGGCCACCCACCCCCTCGTGTGCCGTGCCGGCCTTCCAAGGTGCTCATTAACAGCTCATGCCCCAACAGTCTATATGGGAGGGGGGTGGGGGATCTTTGTCTTTATTTTTTGCTGTTCAATATTGATGCATATTGTGTGTGCCTACTGAATGTGTGTCAAATCTGTAAATGATGATAAAAAAGCCATCAAAACAGATAATGCATTTCTTCATAACTGCTGATAGTTTGTGCACAATGCACAAAGGCTGAGTGCTTTTTACACATTTTTGCGTGGTTTGAAAACTGTTTGTGTTAACCGTGTACGTGTGGACACTGAATGTTTGTGCGCTGCCTATTTGGATGTGTGTGCATGCATGCATGTGTGCGTGGCAAAAATTTCCCAGCGGTCCTTGACCTCCCATAGGTTGACTCGGCCCTAAATGAGTACCTGGTGCCGTGTCTAAACACCAGCACTGGGGAGACAACGGCCGGCCAGGCATGGTGCTGACTTCACGGCCCCCTCGTGTGCCGTGTCGGCCTTAATAGGTGCTCGCTAATGGCACTTGCACCAATAGTCTGTCTCTTTTGTGTGCGTGTACTGGGTGTGTGTGTGTCGGTGCTGATCACGTGTGTTGTACTGAATGTGTCAATATGCGTGCGAACTGACTACATGTGCATTAAGCGTGTATGTGTGCTGTGAACATGTGCGTGCTGTTTTAATATGTGCGTGTATTGACTGTGCGTATATTGACGGTCTGTGTGTGCTGACCGTGCGCGTGTGTGTGAGATGACTAAAGGCACAACGTTTTGTGATATCACGAAATATTGCGCAGCTGTCCCTGAAGACCGCACATCCCCTCTTGCTGACAACTGACCAATCGCATTCGTTCGAGCGCGGCACGACTCGTGTCTATGTGACCAACTCTCACCAGCCAATCTGAACTCGCTTCCACGGTATCCCGGTTGGAAGGCTCTGCATTTCTGCTTCTCCCACACACGTGACAATGCGCACATTTTACAGGTCGCCGGGAGGGTGGGACAACCGCAGGACGGAACGGGTTTAGAAAAAAATGTGCGTCCGGGAGACGGAGAGGGGGAGAGAGAGATAGGGGCAGACCTTGATCCTCTCCGTAAGCGGACAGCCAAGGTGGGCAGATGGAAGAATTAATTCAGGGTGCAGGATAGAGGAAGATGGAATGCTGCAGCAGCAGCAGCATGATAACCGAGGGTCAGGGCCGCCGAGAGGAGGGGCCAATGGTGACCGTCATCCCGGGTCTCGGCAGGGTCAATGTGGCGCCAGCATTTGCAGGAGGAGGCCGGGCTGCTGGGAGCAGTGCTGAGGCTTGCAAGGGGCCAAGCTCTTGCACTACTTTACAAGCCCCAGTCAAAGCCTGCGTCCTTTGTGAGTAGGCCTTCATTCAGCAGTGGCTAACAGGATGCCTGGCAATGTTGATGCTGGTGGCGGCGGTGGTGCCAATGAACATGTCTGTGAGGGCAATGATGACGGTGGTCGTGATGTTGTTGCAGCTGCTACTACCCTTGCCTCTGATGATGATGATGATTACGATTTATACTGTGATCACAATCAAATTGATATCAATTTATATTTAATGTGTGTTAATTTGACAATAAAATCGCGGGATAATATAAAACAATCTTATTTTTCATACTGAGTTGGCAGTGGTGCTTGAGCAAAAATAACAAAAACGCAACACTTTCATCAATTACACTGCCCAAAAAGGAAAACAACAACAACCGCCATTCGCTACTAAGTGTCGGTGACGTCACCACGACGCTTGTGCCAGGCTATGTGTACTCACACACACACATACACACACTTACGTAATGGCCTCGAGAGGGCCACCGTAGTGTAGAGACAGTGTCGAGTGAGGGGTGGTACTGCAAGGGCGGAGTCCGGGTGTCGCTGAGAAGGGGGGTCGCGTCAGGACGGGACCGCGAGGTGAACCCGGGAGGGCACGTGACCGGACGAGGAGGGGGCAGGGGGACACCAGTCGGGGGTGAGAGGATCACGTGATGGGGATCCAGAGTCCCCACGAGGGTTCTGGAAGGGGGCGTGGCCAAGGGCGGAGCCGGCCACGCCAGGGGAGTTATAAGCGGGGTCCCGAGAGGGATGACGGCGTTCTACTCCGGGAATGAAGTCGCCATCCTCGGTCCTGGTCTCCGGTCTTCACTCGTGGACCAGGCAGCCCGTTAGCTGCCCTGCTCGGACTATAGAATTGTCTCTCCGAGTGTTGGTTATGTTAGCCGTGGTGGTCACCACCCTGTGCTGTTATCCTGTCAGAGTTACCCGTTGTGTTAAATAAACGTGTTGCCTCCAAGTACAAGTGTGCGCCTAAGTTAACACCAAATATACAATAGGTGACATTTTGAGAAGTGGGCCTTTTTCAGAGTTACGGAGAAAGACTAAGAATACAACATTGCCCCGAAACGTCAACTGTACATTTTCCTTTTGAGGTCAGCAGCGTTCTTTGACGAACACGTCGAGGTTTGATACGGGAGTAAGGAGTAAACAAATCCATTTACACAGTTGAGGGGGGGGGGGGGGGCGGGCTAGGGGGGGAGATTCATCATTGCCATTGCCGGCGATGCCACCGATCGTCCCGGAGTCTGCTCGACCGACACCCACCTCTGTTCACCTTTGCGCCGCGTGTCTCTCCGTATCTCTCCGTGTCGCCCCCCCCCCCCCTCTCCCCCGCAGCCACGGAGCCACCGCCTCGCGCGAGAGAGCGCCACGCTCTCCGCCATGGTCTTGCCGGCGCCCGACCGCTGCCACGTTTGCCTCTTCACAGCGCTCATCGTGAGCAGCATGGCCCTGCTGGACGCGTACCTCGTGGAGCAGAACGCGGGGCCTCGCAAGATCGGCGTGTGCATCATGCTGCTGGTGGGCGACGTGTGCTTCATCATCGTGCTGCGCTACGTCGCCGTGTGGGTGGGCGCCGAGGTGCGCACCGCCAAGCGCGGCTACGCCATGGTGCTCTGGTTCGTCTACGTGTTCGTGCTCGAGATCAAGCTCTACTTCGTGTTCCAGAACTACAAGGCGGAGCGCCTGGCGCTGTCGGGCGCCGCCGCCGCCGCCGCCGACGTGACGGCGCGCAAGGTGCTCACGCTGCTGCTGTCGGTGTGCGTGCCGGCGCTCTACGTGTCGCTCGTCGCCGTCGACCACATGGGCTACCTGCGGGCGTTCTGGCGGAAGGAGGACCTACGCAGCCGCATCTTCTGGGTGGCGGTCGACCTGCTCGACGTCCTCGACGTGCAGGCGAACCTGTGGGAGCCCACGCAGCGGACGCTCATGCCGGCCTGGGCCGAGGGCCTCACCTTCTTCTACTGCTACGTGGTGCTGCTCGTGCTGCCGTGCGTGTCGCTGAGCGAGATCAGCATGCAGGGCGAGCACATCGCCCCGCACCGCATGCTGCTCTACCCCATCCTCAGCCTCGTCACAATCAACGTCGTCACCATCCTCGTGCGCCTCGTCAACATCCTCCTGTACAGGGACGCCCGCGTCTCGGCCATCTTCCTCGGCAAGAACGTGCTCGCCATCGTCATGAAGTCGGCCACGTTCGTCGGGTACCACCGGTCGGTGCACAGGAACGCTCCGCCGCAGCAGCAGCAGCAGCAGCCGGCGCCGCCGCCGCCGCCGTTGCTGCTGCCCCCGCCGGGCATCGCGCCCGCCGGGCTGGCCATCGAGCTGCAGCAGAACTCGATGCCGCACCACCACAGGCCGCACGGAGTGCCGCGGCAGAGCCTGCCCGAGATGCACAGCCCCATCGGGGAGATCGACACGTGATCGGAGTGACGCCCGCGGCGGCGGCGGCGGCGGCCGAGGAAGGGAGGAGGGCGGCGGCGGCCCTCGAGGCCCCCGTGGCCCTCGCGGCCCTCGCGGCCCTCGCGGCCCTCGTGGCCCTCGCGGCCCTCGCGGCCCTCGCGGCCCCCGTGGCCCCCGCGGCCCTCGCGGCCCCCGCGGCCCCCACGGCCCTCGAGGCCCCCGTGGCCCTCGTGGCCCTCGCGGCCCTCGTGGCCCTCGCGGCCCTCACGGCCCTCGCGGCCCCCGCGGCCCTCGCGGCCCCCGCGGCCCTCGCGGCCCCCGTGGCCCTCGAGGCCCTCGAGGCCGTTGCGCCGGCGCTCGGCTCTCTGGACGTGCGTTGTTTTATCGACGTGGAGAGAGGTGGCGAGGAGCTGTGCGTCTCCGGGAGATTGGTCGGCAGGAAACATGCCGGCGTTGGCCTCGGGCGAGACCCGCCTCTGGATTTTGTTGCAAATGCTGCATACGGCGGCCTTTGCCCAGTGGAATGGAGTGCGATGATGATGCTGCTGCTGCTGCTGATGGTGTCGGCGCAACTGCCGATGACCATAAAAATGACCTGATGATGTTGGTGATGTTGATGGCCATCATTGCCGTTCACGAAAATGCCGATGAAATTAATTGTGATTTGAACAGGAATGAGAATAGGCATACGGCGGAACAAGCCGCCCCGATTCGGGGGCCGTAGAAATGTGAACGAAGGAATGAAGTCGCGAGGACCGATAGTTCCGACGTATCAAAACCACCCGTGGCAGTGATGGTGGCGGTGATGGTGGCGGTGATGGTGGCGGTGATGGTGGCGGTGATGGTGGCGGTGATGGTGGCTGTGATGTTTTTTTTTTATTGGTTTGCACGGCACCTTGAAGCTGTCGAGTACCAAGGCGGCTGGAAGTGTGCGTTGGTCTCCGTTGGTCGTGAACGCGCGCGGTCGCGCATTGCCGGCTGTGTGACGACAAACAGGCTCGCACTTTAAACGAAGTGACACCCCCCCCCCCTCTCCCCCCCGGTGCCACACGTTGCACCGAGCGCTCACGGGCAGCGGCTGCTGTCGATTGCGGCTGTCGACAACGCGGGAGCCGGCCGTTGATTGAGCGCGGCACCGTGCGGCAAGAGGCAAGCGTGGAATCGCACGTCAATGCATAACAACAAGAATGATCGGGCGACGGAAGCGCGTTTGGGCGAGCCTCTTTTGAACGTTTTCGTTTTTGTCCTCCCTTGCTTCCGTTGCGAATAGTCGATGGCCCTGTCTAAGACGGAACAGTTTCGTGAATTGCTGTTTACATGTTGTACGTGACAAATTTTATATGTGCAAACGTTTCTGCTTACTGTCGGAAGTAATGCTGATGAATATGACTTTCGCAAAAAAAGAAGAAAAAAACCGCCGTACAAAAAAAACTTGAGGAAATAAAAATAACGGGGTGGAAATGGTTACGATCGTTTTGTATCTCCCAGAAATGCGTTTTTACCTCACACCGCTGTGCTGTGCGCACTTTGATTCGATTTATATTGTGGTTTTTGTGTTTCTGAAGAATGCAGATTTTAACAGCAGCCCAACTAACATGCAAAGTGTTCCTCTCTCCACCCCCCCTCCCCCAACTCTTCTTTATAATTAGTGTTATTTATTAAAAATGTTTGTCAATGCAAATAACCAAACATAAATGGAAACATGCCCTTAAACAAACCATTGCCACAGAAGAGTTATTGCTGTGCTACACAAATGTCAAGCTCACTTTGAAAAAAAAAACGTGAATTAAGTATTTATATTTAAAGCTTTCGTGACTGCAGGGATTCATATTCTTGCTTTTTTCGGTAAAGTCACGTGACTTTACCGAAAGAACCAAGAATATATAAGCATTTATACTTATATAAATATTTTTCTTTATTGTATTTCTATGACATGGTTTCTTGATTTAATAAAGCTCAAATATTCTACTCCGCAGGCAATTCTTTACAAGGAAGTGAGGAACTTGCCAAAGAATTGTAAATCCTCTGCAGGTTTCTGTTGGACAAAGTCACACTTTTTTTTTACGAGTTGATTCTTTCACCTGCTCATTTGTTCCCCTTCATGCAGCATTGATGAAAAACACCACTGCAACGCCCGTGAGAGATGTTTACTACCTCACCCGGTACACAGGAGGTCGTGGGTTCGATCCCGACCCTGACGACTGCTGCTGCTGCTGTATATTTGGTGTCTCTCTCCCTGTGGTCGTGTGGATTTTTCTCCGGGTCCTCCTGGTTTTTTGCTCCACATTTAGAATCAACATGCCTTTACAGTATGTGGCTGCTATACATTAGTCACATAAGGCACTTCCATAATAGAGCTTTTTAAGTGAACTTCGTTGGGCTATCATTTGCTTCTGAAAAAGAGCCATATAGCTCAGTGGGCCTTACCCGGTAAAATACCAAATAGTTTAGTTTAGATAGTACTCGCACACACACACACAACGTCATTATGGATAAGAGGCGTTCTACTGCACTACATCTCTGATGGACATGGTTGGCTACGTACGGAGTGAAAGAAGTTCAACATACATACTAGTTTTATTAAAACTACACAACTATTGGCCACGATCTTATTTGTCTACATTTTTGTGTGCATCTCTTAGCCATATCCAAACGTGTTTGGGGGTATCTGGAAAACCCACAACACCCACAGTAGCTGCGTCCATGCCGAGTGACCAATCTCTCCCACACCACAACAGATGGCGCATTTACATGGACAGCAAGGAGAAAACCTGTGGTTGGTTTGACGTTGCTCTTTATACATTCATACATCGAGACCGCAGGCTACGTTTAATCCACCTGCGCTGCATTTCTCTGCACGTGTGAATTCATGGATTCACCTGGAGGCTTGAAATTACAAATGCCCGCATGGTGAGATGGACGCACAACCCACGACTGCCGTGGTGACTGTTCGCATGATCATTGCTCATTGATTCCTTCTCCCACGTTACGGATTTGGTCGACTAAACTGACTTGGTACTGCAGGTAACGAATCTCATGCCACTGCTTCTCTGCTCGCACTGCCTACGTTATGAATTCACTCCCACCGTGTCGCCTCTTTTAACAAGGTTATCATAGCCTTGCTCAATTCAATAGACATTAACTCTTCCTTATTAGGCTTACAAGGGCGCCGCTTGTTGCTGGCCGCTCGATGTTTTGAGCCACGTGTCTCAGCAACCGTGATAAAAAAAAAATCCCAGAGAGTGTGGATTCAACCCTGGAAGCCTTCATCAGTAACATCAACAGCTGAATGTAGTGTGCGATGACAGTAATGGTTCCCCCATCCAGGAGTGTTAGAAGATTTTCACGACTTTGAGTCATCCTTCACGTCGCGATTTGATTCGTTTTTGTCTCGGTTTTTACTTGCTCATTTGTATTGTTGCTCCATCTTTTACTTGTAGCATTCCATCTGCTTCATTAACCCAAATGTAACAAAAGCATATTGTTCAGACGTCATCTTTATCAAGTGCAAACATCACCATCATAATCAGCCATGATCAATCCACTGCTGGATAAAGGCGGCCCCAAGATGCCACCACCACCTCTCATGAACCCCACGATGTGACGATTCACCCGACACCCGCACATCAACTGATTTAATCGCTCCATCTCCTAGATGGCCGTTATCTCCGATGTGGTTCCGTTCCTTGGCGTTGGCACGTAATTCGTTTCACTCGTAAATAACAGCATCAAACATGTATGATCCTACTCGTATATCATGCGTGTAAGAATCAATTTCAATCAATGCCTTGTTACGTGTCTCGTGTGTACAATGGGATCAACTAAACCTGCACTTAATTGTGGCTGTGGCCACTGATATCCTGTACTGCTTGCCCCAACTTTGTATTCTAAAAGCGTGCCTACGGTTATGAGCTAAATTTAAACGTTTGTGAATGCGTGTTGCCAAAATCCAATAAGAACTCAGTATGACGGTAGTGACAATACAAAAATAAAAATTCGTAATCACGATCTAAACCCAGTCTGGTGCAGATTACAATCAGAAGGTTTCTCGTTACAATCTCGGTTGGGGATTGACTCCACCCATCATATCTATGCGATTGATAAAATAGGTATCACTTTGTAGGGAAGTCAACAGCGGTTGCCCTATGGATAGACTCGCCCCCACCATAGGAATGTGGAATTCCGATCACTGGCTCAGGGCTGTAAACAGGAGCTGAGCACTGCCTCATTGTTAATTTGAGCAGCAAATTACGATTGAACAAAAATGTACGTGTTCACAGCTAAAACGCATAATCTAAACATTGTCATCTGTATCATTTGGCTGGTATCTCCCCCTGGTATACAATTGTTCCCTCCGGTCTTAATATACTTGAATTATTACCAGCAGCACACTGAATTAAGTGAGCAGGATCCGCATGCTAATATAAAGTGCACGTTTTCCACATTTACTTTCCTTTGGGGGATAAAAAGAGTGTTTTGGATATCTTAATGTGAAATTGCTTTGGATTCTCTAATATGTTTTGGTGGAAAGGTCATCTGAGAAAGAGTACATTTGAGACTGGCACCTTGAATTATATCTCCAGTTTGTGCTACGATAAAACATGTTTTCTAACCTTTGAAATAATGGCAAAATTATTAATCAGTTAACGTTTGTCATTTAACCCCTTTGCGCTGAATAGTGTCACGTGTTTTCTCGTTAATATGAAGTGTGATATAAACATTCAATTAAATGCTTTTTAAATATATACGAAATATATTTTTTATTCGGATACGATTGTCATTAAGAGGAACAATGCATTTTAAATAGTCTACATTTATTGTCCAATGTTTATTCGCAGCATTAAAAATATCATTTGGAATTCCCCCAACTCCCAGAAAAAAAACCCATTGAAATAAAGTAGAAAAAAATACTGCCGCATCAAAATAAAAAAAATTAGGTGCAAAAAAACTCCCTAAAATAATTAGACAACCCCTTGTCGCATGTGTCTGCTGCAGTAACTGGCAAACGTTCGCTAATTAAGCCATCGTTACTTACGTCCACAACAGATGGTCACTGGACAG